GAAGCTTCGGGAGGAGACCAGAGGATGTATTAGGAGATGGCAAGGCAACCCAGTGTGCCCAGTGGGTGTGCCCTGTTGCCTTTTGGGCCCCTTGAGGCTCCGTCTGACCTAATTCCACTTCTATAAATTCTCAAATATTGGGAAACCAACAGAGAGCCACCCGAAACACTTTTTCCGCCGCCGCAAGCTTTTTTTCTTCCGTGATCCCATCTGGAGGCCTTTTTTGGTACTTTGCTAGAGGGGGAATCAATCACAGAGGGCTTCTACATCATCCTTGTTGCCTTTCGATGATCATGAGTAGTTTATCACAGACCTATGGGCCCATAGCTAGTAGCTAGATGGCTTCTTCTCTCTCTTTGGTCTTCAATACCATGTTCTCTCGATGTTCTTGGAGTTCTATCCGATGTAATATTCTTTTGCGATGTGTTTGTTGGGATCCAATGAAATGTGGGTTTATGATCTGAATATTTATGAGAAGTAATTGAGTCTTTTCTGAAATTTATTATGCATGATTTTTATAGCTTTGTATTTCTCTCCGATCTATCCATTTGGTTTGGCCAATTAGATTGATTTATCTTTAGTGGGAGAGGTGCTTTGTGATGGGTTCAATCTTGCGGTGCTCTATCCCAGTGACAGAAAGGGATAAACACGTATTTGTATTCCTGCCATTAAGGGTAAAATGATGGGGTTTATTCATATTAGTTGAGTTTACTTTGTCTACATCATGTCATCTTGCTTAAGGTGTTACTCTGTTTTTATTAACTTAATACCCTAGATGCATCTTGGATAGCGGTCGATGGGTGGAGTAATGGTAGTAGATGCAGGCAGGAGTCAGTTTACTTGTCTCGGACGTGATGCCTATATATATGATCATTGCCTTGAATATTGAAATAACTATGTGCTTTTCTATCAATTGCCCAACAGTAATTTGTTTATCCACCGTATGATATGTGTTCGAGAGAGAAACCTCTAGTGAAAACTATGGGCCCCGGGTCTACTTTAATCATATAAAAATAGAAATATATTTGCTGCGATTTTATTTCTTTTATTTTATTTTGCAATTTATCTATCCACCACTACGAGATTTGATCCTTGCAATTAACGAGTTCAAGGGGATTGACAACCCTCTTGCTCGCGTTGGGTGCAAGTATTTGCTTATGTGTGTGTACAGGTGTTGTTCATGAGGCTTTGCGTGATTCTCCTATTGGTTCGACAAACCTTGGTTCTCAATGAGGGAAATACTTATCTATACTGTACTGGATATCCTCTCCTCTTCAGGAAAATCCCAATGCACCTTACAAGTAGCAGTATGTCATAGAGGATAAGAAGGCCATTCATAAAGCCCAAGGGGAACTGATCAGAAACCTAAGGACTGAGCTGCGTGAGCTGAAGAAGGATAGGGATATCAATGGACTCAAGAAGGAGATGTATGTGTTGAAGACTGAACTCCAAGACCATAAGAAGGATAAGAAACAGCTAACGAAGGACAAGACTGAGATGATGCAGGAGAGGGGTGAGTTGAAGATGGAGAAGAAGAAGCTGCAAATAGCCATTTCTGAGCTGACTAAAGTTAGAGAAATTCACAAGGGCAAGCTGAAGAAGATCAAGAGGATTTGTGATGAAGATTATGTCATTGAGCTTAATGGTTGAGACTTTGTCTAATCTAGTGTTGTTGTATGCAGTATACTACCCATCTATCTACTTTTCTTTCTATTGTTGTAAGCACTATGATACCTATCTAAATTGTTGGTGTTGCAATGGTATGAACTATGTATAAGGTCTAGTTTGGGTCATATCTGTTGTTGTATGCACTACGCTACCTATCTAAATTGTTTGTGTGGACTATCCATGGAGTCCACTTATCTGTAATGTTGTTGCCAAGATGGATGCCAACAAGAATCAATAGCATGCACATAGAACTAGCACATGACTTGTGATATACAAATTTTGAAACAAAGACCCATAACATGCACCTGGAGTATAACAGGTTGCATACTCTCTCATAAGTAGGCATAAGAAGTACAATTCATACAAGTGGTTCATAATAGAGGTAACATCAAGGACCCATATGATTGCTTGCTAGCTAGTCTAACAGCCGACCACATTGTTTGTGTTAGGCATTACAAACTAAGATCAGTAGATCTACAAAATATACCATCGACATCATTAGCTTTTTAGTGTTCCATGGCCTGTTATATATGTATTGGCCTAATATATACTTAGTCTCTAAGCTAACACCTCACTGCTCTAGGATGGACTTGATCTTCTGAAGCTTCCCCTAACTACCATGCCCACCTTTAAGCAATTTAGCAATCACACTCTCATGCTTCTTCTTCTTCTCCTCTTGAAGAACATCCATGTCCTCCTTGACCTCCTTCATGGCCTTACTAGTGTTCCTGGTGATATCTGCCTAAGAAGTGAGGATGCACCTCTACTCCGTCGCCAGACTCATTTTCTCCATCTTCACCTCCATCTTACACCACTCCTCTAACTTTGTAAGCTTTTTCTTCACATCTTCAGCATGCTTTATTGCATTCTCGTGTTGCATATGCCGCATCTTTCCATCTTGCCAATCAAAAAGTTGGCCAACTTCATCAATCATATCATTGTATTGCTTGCATAGGAAGTCATTCTGCTTCTCCAGTTTGGTTATGTTCTTGTCATAAGCATGTCTATCCATCACCCTTCCACTGTTTTGCTCATGAAACATCTCCCACAGTTTTGTCAAGCACCTCTGAAGTATGACAGACCAGGGACCATGAACCCACTCAATCACTCCACAATCAATACCTCCCTGCAAATAATGTACAATTCAGTTAACAGCGGCAAATTCAGTTCACACTAGTAATTCAGTTAACACTAGAAAGTTCAGGTAACACTACCAAATTCATTTCACATCAGTGATTTAGTTAACACTAGAAAGTTCAGTTGACACTACCAAATTCAGTTAACACTACTCAGTTAACACTAGCAAATTCAGTAAACACTACCAAATACAGTTAACACTGGCAAATTCAGTTAACTACTACTACCCACATTCAATTAAAATGAATTCAGTAAACTACTTAACAGTAGAGCACATTCAATTGTAGAGCACATCAGTAAACAATAAAGACAACAAATATTACCTGCTTAGCACAACCATATAATCTTCTACCTGTGTCGGATGCAACACATTTCTTGACCCTGAACTTGTGAAGCTTGCATTTCATCTGTGGGTCAGTCACTGAGCCACAGAAGGAAGCATCAATAGTTGTATTAGAATTCTCCTACATTGACAAGAAGCATTAGGCACAGAGGAGAGGTACAGAAGGGGGGGGGTCTAAAATGCCAGACTCTGCAAATCCTCACATTGAAACCCTAACACTAACCGAAACCAATGTAAAATACATACCCACACATCCAGGTCCATGCTTGTGTAGGTCAACTCCTCCTCCTCACTGTCGTCCTCGAGATCTCTTCAAGAAGCCATTGCAGCAGCGGCGGCAAGGTTGAGCGGCGGCGGCACAGAAGGAAGCGAGAGCAAGTGAGGGTGAGCGAGAGTGAGAGCGATAGGAGAGAGCGGCCACTATTTCCTTTTTGGGCATCTTCCGACCGGCTCGGCCGGTCCGAGCGTTAACGGCCGTCCACCACTAGGCACGCGGCAGCTTTGGCATGTGCCCTGGAGGCAGAAATTCATGCGACCATATAAGGCATGGCTTTGGCTATACAACATTCAAAGCTTGAGATCATTTTCAGACTGATTCGACATTCTACACGGGAGTTTATTCCTTAGAAGTTTCACCGCGACTAGAAATAGAGTGTGTAGCATCGCAGTTTGGCTACACGAAGGGGGGGGGGGGGATTTTTGCTCTTTTTCTTGACTCGGTACACTCGCAGAATACCCACACACACTTATCCCTATGACCGGCATCACTCCTTGAGATTGACGAACTCATCACAGGCGTCTCGTAGTCGACGAAAATGTCTTCTCTCACTGGACGAACATTGTCGGCAAACCTGAAATAAATCCAGAAAAATGCGAGCACCAATTTCAAATCTAGGACGTGAGCCCTGGCGAGCTGGTTCCACCACAAGGAATCTGACCATTTGAGCTACGTTTAGTTCATAGAAATTTTGCCTTGTGATTGTAAATCTATATTAAGGAATAAAAACTATTTTTCCTTGAAAAAATGAATAGAGATGGTGATGATTAGACGTTGACCAAATTAAGGCTTCAAAGTGCACGTGACAATTAAGTTTCTCTTTCCTCCTCCACGTTACCCTTTGCTTCTCCTCCATCAGCGCCGTCGCCGGTCCGCCCCATCTTCGATGGCCTTTGGGACATAGAGGTGCGGAGGATCTCGGTCCCCCCCCCCCACCCCTGGCGGGAGGGACCCCGTTCTCATTCTTGTTAGATTCAGCGTCTTGGTTGAGGCTGTGTGGCGGCGGCAATGCCCCTCAATAGGAACAATGTCTCCCATGTTCTATCCGCGTCCCAATGGTGCGTCTAGCGTCTTTGAGGACATGTGAAGGTGTGTCTTCGTTGGATTCCGCGGAATTCGGTCGGCGCTGATCTTCGATGGATCTGTTTAGATCCGCTCTTCGTTCGTTTTTGTCGGGTATTTACATGTTTGATCCCTCTGTTTTACGAATTTCTTCATTGGCGATGGTTGTTGCTCTCATGCGTTGGTCATATGGGCCTTAGTGCGACGACTTCCCGACTGTTTACTATAACAAGGTCCGATGACGACGGCGCGCCTTCGACTCACTCCAGTGCTTGTAGTCGTCGCTAGGCGGTCCACAGGTCTGGTAGTGATTTTTAATACCTCTGGAGTTCTTTGTAGCGCCAAGATTGAAGATGAATTCCGGGAAAAAAAAGTGCAGTTGGCAATTTTCAGGCAACTGGTCAATAGGCGGCAGCTCCAGTATATATTTGAATTTTTTTCTTCTATACATTTCGTACATGTGGACACAATCCGTATTTAGCGCGGATGCTAGTGGTCTACGTACTACAATTCTTATATGGCGCTGAGCTGCCTGACGTTGATCGGGAAGATGAAGGGCGCGGACCCGTCGAAGGCGGTGGCGGTGAGCTTCTGCGCGGTGGCCTCCGTGGGGTGGTAGAAGTCCCAGAAGACGTGGTCCGACCTGTTGGCGCAGTAGCTGCTGAGCGGGGTGCAGGCGATCTTGGCGTTCATGTCCCCCAGCCCGCAGCACGCCGCCTTGGCCTCGACGAACCCGTACTCCGCCGGTTGGTCGATGTACCGGAGCAGCGCGGCAGAGGAGTCGAAGAGCGCGTAGTGCAGGTCCGTGTACTTGGCGGCCATGCCGCTCAGCACGCCCTCGGCCGCCTTGTTGTACTGCACGGCCATGGAGTTCCCCACGGCGTTGCAGACCTTGGCGGAGCTCATCTCCCGCAGCGACGGGGTGCAGCCCACGGGCCCCGTGCCGAGGAACAGCACCTTGCGCGCGCCGAGGTTGTAGAGGCTCTGCAGCTGGCCGGAGAGGGACTGGATGAGCGCGGCGACGTACTGCTGCTGCTGGGAAGGGGTGGCGGCGTTGTTGGCCTTGGCGTAGTGGATGATGTCGTTGCTGCCGATGGTGATGGCGAAGATGGACCTGGCCAGGTGGGTCGCCGCCTGGGCCTGCCCGAGGCTGCGCGCGAGGGAGGAGTACACGCCGGAGTAGTACTCGATCTGCTTGTCGAAGGTGATGCACTGGTTCTTGTTCGTGGCGTTGGAGACTCCTGCGCCGCCGGAGGCGAAGCTGACGCCGTTCACGTAGTTGGCGTTGCTGCTGGAGGAAAGGGCCAGGTACGGTGGCGAGGTCGCCAGCCCGAGCTTGTCGGCTGCATGCGTACACAGGAGCATATGTCAACCACAAACTCACAATCAGCATACATCAACATCAAAACTAGCTGCAGTCCTCCGGATTAGAATCGTGAGAACGTACATTACTACATGTCGGTATGGTCCCTCGATAGGGAGGTGTTGCATGGCAACAAATTTGACTTCACTCAGAGCATCTCCAACAGCCGCACAAAAATTTCGCGCCCAATAAACATTATAACGCGCCATTGTAGCACTTTTAAAGCGCCGGGACTAATTTTGCTTTAGCAGGTGCCCAAAAACGCGCGCCCAAAAAGCAGACAGTGCAAATTGTGAAGCGCGCGCAATCCGGCGCCCCAAATATGGCGCGCGCGATAGCGTTTTTCAGCGCGCGCGCAAAAATTTTTAGCGCTACAGCTTTTGCTGGAGCTGTCCGGCGCCCAAAAATACAAACTTTTAGCGCGCGGAGCTTTTTTTGGGCGCCTGTTGGAGATGCTCCAATTGCTAGCTTGGGACAACTACGTTGCATTCCTTTGGTCGGGTTGAAAGACATGGCCAAGATAACAACGTACGTCTACAAGAATACATAGTTTCTTATGGCCGCCAGATCTCTAGGGATATAGGAGTAGTAAGTATTCCCTTCGTTCCATAATTTAAGACGTTTTTTGACACTAGTTAGTGCAGTGAAGTTGAAGTTCTGTATCAGTCAATGCCTTCTCCAGCTGGCCAAGTCACAGTTGCTACAACTTGGATACATTCATATAAAGTGAAAAATTGTTCTCAAGTCAAATTGAGAGTGACGAATGTGGACCGCCTAAAATACTAAATTATCTTGCCCGTGAATGCAACGTAGCTGGGATTAGTGTAGATTTTCTTCCTCTTCTTCCTTTTTTTGCATAGGCAGAAGAACTTGCGGATAGAACCTATATCATTTACGTAATCTATAAATCTGGTAACGATTTTGTTAACAACCATAGTAACTAACCTAGCTCGGGCCGTAGCAACAGGCAAGGAAAGAATGGATGGTAAAATGAGTAGGCAACTCACCGAGGAAGTCTGCCGAGTTCTTGCCGTTGCTGAAGCGGCCGGTGGCCTTGCCGCCCGCGTAGTCCATGCCGTTGTGCGAGAAGTCCGCCTTGAGCAGCGTCAGCAGGTGGTTGTTGTTCCCCACGTCCGCCAGCGAGTCGCCGAACACGTACACCGCCGGCACGGACCCCGCCGTCGCCGCCGCGGCCATGAGGGCCATGATGACCAGGGAGCAACAAGCGACCACACTGGCACCCGCCATTGCTAGCTAGCTCAGACGAACAAACGAGCGTTACTCCGAGCAGCTACCGCGGTGTGTGTTCTGCACTCGTACCACTACGACTGCTTATCTTCTCACGCTGGACAATGAGTTGAGTTCAGGAGGTTGGGCTGACGGCAATTTATAGGCCGCACAGGATCGAGTGGAGGCTCAACCACGGGAGGGATAAAACATTCTTTTTCCGAAATGGAGGATAAAACATTCTGCTTCGATACGTGTGTACAGAAAATGAGCGCGCGGGGCAGAGGAGTGCGTACGTTTGTTCGAGCGTGTGTATGTGCTCTGTGGTGTGGAGAAGACGGCAGGGCGATCACATAAACAAACGGCCAAAATGGCGAACGACCGTATGGTATGGGACGGGTCTCCGTCCGGTTATCTTTCCATGATCTGGCGTACGCGCGCAACTCACTATCTCTCGCGGGTGTAAGTGTTCACATGCATGATATTATTTTTTGAAAGATGAATGATTCTTGTTTATGATCGGCGTAAGCGGCGCGTCTCTCTCTCGAGGATAAGTGTTCACATGAACGAAGCGGATGAGGGGTGCCCTCAAATTCCGTAGGCGTCATCGAGTGGTGCCAGCCCGGCGAGTGCCACATGTCGGTAAGTGTTCACACGTATGATTTTCTTTTCAAATGCATATGATTTTCATTTATAATCAGCGTACGCGGCATGTCCTTCTCTGTCGAGGGTAAGTATCCACATGAACGAAACGAAGAAGGATGAATTGCGCAAAAAGATAAAAAAATACGGAGAAGGGTGCCATGAGGCTGGTTTTCTAGGTGTCATCAAGTGGTGCCAACTCCCTGGGTGTCACCACTTCCTCGTGTGCTTTTCTGGAGGTCAGGGCCGAAGTTAGAAAAAAAGTTCAATGGGGTATATGTCTATGACAGTGGGGTCATCTTCTATTAATGAATAGTGACTAGTACTTAGTTTCTGAAGGATTTGCTGATTCTGTTGGGGTCAGTTGACCCCAATCCTTACAAGGCAGCTCCGTCCCTGCTGGAGGTAGGGTGTGTTGTCGTTGGTGTTCCTTTGTTCACCGTGTGTGCATGGTTTGCTCCTGCATGTCGTGGTTTTCTATTGCGAGTGCCACTCTAGTAAGGGTTTATGCTATCTGCCGTGGATTTCTATTTTAGGTATGGTTGTCGTTGTCGATGTCAAAACCGGCGGATCTCGGGTAGGGGTCCCGAACTATGCGTCTAAGGCTAATGGTAACAGGAGGCTGGGGACACGATGTTTACCCAGGTTCGGGCCCTCTCGATGGAGGTAATATCCTACTTCCTGCTTGATTGATTTTGATGATATGAGTATTACAAGAGTTGATCTACCACGAGATCAGAGAGGCTAAAGCCTAGAAGGTAGCCTATGGTATGATTGTTGTTGTGTCCTACGGACTAAACCCTCCGGTTTATATAGACACGGGAGGGGGCTAGGGCTACACAGAGTCGGTTTACAGAGAAGAAGATCTATATCCGAATCGCCAAGCTTGCCTTCCACGCCAAGGAGAGTCCCATCCGGACACGGAACGAAGTCTTCAATCTTGTATCTTCATAGTCCAACAGTCTGGCCAAAGCATATAGTCCGGCTGTCCGGATACCCCCTTATCCAGGACTCCCTCAGTAGCCCCTGAACCAGGCTTCAATGACAATGAGTCCGGCGCGTAGATTGTCTTCGGCATTGCGAGGCGGGTTCCATCTCCGAATACTCCAAGATAAATTCCGAACACAAGGACCGTGTCCGGCTCTGCAAGCTAAATTCCATATACCACCATAGAGAGAATAATAATCCACGAATCTAATCTGCTGACAACTCTTTGAAAAGTGACATCACACCACGGTCCGGTTTTTATTCGAACCGTTTTTACAACCTGCTACTGCACACATCACGAGGCGGTTTTCTTGGCACGTCTTGTCAAAGCAGAGATCGTGTCCCTCTTACTACGGATCCTCATCAATACGGGTATGGGTAATCCAACCGTGCCTGTTGGCGTAGTTAGAACAATAGAATGATTTGCCGTGAGATTACCTCCCGGGCTTGCATAGTATTAATAATAGGGCAATCTGGGTTGCCAAATACAAAAGATTACAATGGATCCTAACAATCAATCTAACTAGGAAACTATCGTAGCTAATCTGTCAGATATAATTACAAGGATTATATACTGATGAATATACATTAATATACCCCCTCAATCTTAACCGGCCACAAGGTTGAGATTGCGTCGTAATTTTTCTAGCATGAACTTTGTTGCAGGTTTAGTGAAAGCATCTGCAACTTGATCACCGGATGACACAAATCGGACATCCAATGCTCCTTGCGCCACCTTTTCTCTCATAAAGTGAAAATCCACCTCAATATGCTTTGTCCTCGCATGAAATACTAGATTTGCACTCAAATAGGTGGCACCCAAATTATCACACCATAAAATCGGTGGTCGCGGTAGGAACACTCCTAGTTCCTTAAGCACAGATTGCACCCAAGTAACTTCAGCTGTGCCATTTGCAAGTGCTTTGTACTCTGCCTCGGTACTAGATCTTGAGACCGTGGGTTGCTTCCGAGCACTCCATGAAATGAGATTGGGTCCAAGGAAAACGACAAAACCACCTGTAGAGCGTCTATCATCAACACATCCTGCCCAATCAGCATCAGTAAAGACATTGAGAAGTGTGGAGCTTGGACGGTGAATGGAGAGTCCAGTGGCCAGAGTACCCTTGATATACCTTAGTATGCGCTTGACCGCCTCCCAGTGCACACTAGTAGGTTTGTCCAAATATTGGCACACCTTATTGACAGCAAATGAAATATCAGGACGAGTAAGGGTAAGGTACTGCAATCCTCCAACCATACTGCGATAGCGGAAGGCATCATCATCGTTGAGGGGAGTACCAAGATCTGCTGCCAACTTATCGGTGACTGACATGGGAGTAGAAACCTCCTTGCAATTCTCCATATGGGCACGGTGAAGAAGATCATCAGCATACTTCCGCTGAGACAATAATATTCCCCCTGAATTGTAGGTGGCTTCAATCCCAAGGAAGTAAGAAAGACGACCGAGGTCCTTGATGGGAAAGGACCTAGCTAGAACGTGAAGCAAACGATCCACTGCACGAGAGCAAGAACCAGCAATGACAATATCATCAACATAGACCAACATGTAAATAGTCACAGCTCCTCGCCGAAAAATGAAGAGGAAGGTGTCGGCCTTGGATGAATGAAAACCAAGCTGGTGCAGCCGATCACTAAGACGAGAGTACCATGGTCGGGGGGACTGTTTGAGCCCATAAATAGACTTTCGAAGCTTGCAAACATGATGGGGATACCGAGGGTCCTCAAAACCCAGTGGCTGCTGCATGTACACATCCTCATCGAGCAGACCATGAAGAAACGCATTGCTAACATCAATCTGACGCAAGCACCAGCCTTGCGAAACAGCAAGTGACAACACCAAGCAAACAGTGGTCGGTTTAACAACCGGACTAAAGGTGGCAACATAATCGACACCATATTGCTGAGTGAACCCACGAGCAACCAAACGAGCTTTGTATTTATCAAGAGAGCCATCAGACCGTTCCTTGAGCTTGAAGATCCACTTACAACTGATGACGTTGGTGCCGGGAGGACGAGGCACAAGCGACCATGTTTTGGTGCTCTGAAGAGCTGAGAACTCCTCTCGCATGGCAGTTGTCCAAGCAGGATCAACAAGAGCTTGCCGGTGCGTAGTCGGAACAGAGACGACGGCGCTGAAACTGCGTCGATACGGATTGTAGCAGACAGTACCATCGGTGGCAATCTTCGGACGTCGAATGTTGTTCTGTAGGCGTGTGCGAGCATGCACTGGAGCGGGTGCAGTCGAAGGCGCATACGACGAGACGGGAGCATCTGCCGATGCTCCAGTGGCCGTGTCGACGCGCACAGGCACGCGATCAGTCGCGTCAGGTGCGGCTTGCCCAGTAGCCGCATCGGACGTGGAGGCACCCTGGTGGGTCACGCGCACGAGCAACGCTGGCTCGGGTGACTTAGTCGCCTCTAGCTCGGGCGACGACTGGGCCGCATCCGGATCAGCAGGGAGCGGTTGTGTAGCGGGAGTTGGGCCAGCAGCCAGCTGCATGGGCTGGTGCTTGCGTCAGATTGATGTTAGCAATGCGTTTCTTCATGGTCTACTCGATGAGGATGTGTACATGCAGCAGCCACCGGGTTTTGAGGACCCTCGGTATCCCCATCATGTTTGCAAGCTTCGAAAGTCTATTTATGGGCTCAAACAGTCCCCCGGGGCATGGTACTCCCGTCTTAGTGATCGCGCTGGTCGCCCCTGTAGCGCTGCTCTCTGTACCTGCAGGATAAGACTCATGAAACAAAAAGGACAAGTTGTAATTTCTCACATTAGCATCATGAACTACTGGCTCATTTGATGGAAATGACACAAGAGGATTTAAGATAAATCAGGACATGCACTAGTCGCAAAAGGAAAAACTTTTTCATCGAAGACAACATCTCAAGAGATATAGATGCGACCAGTGGATTTATCAAGACACTTATATCCTTTATGAAACGAACTATATCCAAGGAAAACGCACATCTTGGATCGGAACTCAAGTTTCCGAGAGTTGTATTTGCGAAGACTAGGCCAACATGCACATCCGAATATACGAAGAAAAGAGTAATCGGGAGTGATGTTAAGGAGGCGTGTGAGTGGTGGCATGTTTTGGAGACTCCGGCTAGGCATGCGGCTGATCAAATAACACGCGGTGAGAAAGGCTTCATCCCAATAACGCAGTGGAAGATTAGAGTGAGCGAGGAGAGCAAGTCGGTTTCAACCAAGTGGCGGTGCTTTCGTTTTGCGATACCATTTTGTTGGGATGTGTGTGGACATGATATGCGATGAGAAATACCAACACGCTAAAAAATGCATGCAAGCAATGGTATTCACCGCCCCAATCAGATTGTACCGCACGGATTTTTGTGTTGAGGAGTCGTTCGAC